CTTTAAATCCTTGGAAAGCTCTAGGTCCCTAGCCTGCTTTATCATTTTGTTCAGCACCTGCATGACAATGATGGAAAGAACTGAGGTTAGGAGGTCACCTTGTCTTAAACCACTAGAGCCCTTGAAAAAGATGACTCTTATTCACCATTATAGTGACAAATGTAGAAGAGATGCAACACTGTTTCCGCTAGCATCATCTGTTTCCAAAACCAATTCTATTCAACATATACGCTTAGAAATCCCTAGTTCACATGACTGTGTGCCTTATCCATATCAAACTTACATAACATCCCATCCAGTTCCTTGGGGACAAGGTTGGTGTTGAAGGGGACGGTATTGTAAGTATCCGGGTGCAATACGGAGAAAATGAGTAAGGAACATTAGAATGTTGGGGGAACACAAGGAGAAAAATGGAAACGTTTGGAGGGAATCCAAACTCTTAAAAGTCTACTGTTTAAAAAAATATACTTAGCATGCATCCAGAGAATCCTGAGGGTGACTTGTCTTGATCGCAGGTGGCGTATTTAATTCTCTCAAACCCTAGGTCAACCAACTGCTTCCTCTTGCATCTTCATTCGATAAATGTAGGGATTTCCTTTGCAACTCTTTGGTTCCATGGGGATGATTGGCTATTTATGGACTTGTTCATTCATCTTTTCCTTGTCTATAATCCTACATTTTCTGAGATGTAAGCATGAAGTGAATTATTTTGAATATATTTTCATCATCTGCCTCAAGAACTTCTGTATTTCTCTCACGGATTCTTCCTCCTCTTGTCAGTCTATTTCTCTCTCTCAAACTACTCTATTTTTCTCTCGGCTTTTCTCTCTCTCTTTCTTTAAAACTTGAATCAATTACCATTCAGATGCAAACTATGTATCAGGTTCGTAATTACTGACCTACCTCCTTTACTTTCCTAATGCTACGTCAAAAAGTCCAAAAGAATTCCAGTTTTGTTTCTTGAAGGCAACCTACCTCTAGTTTTCATCTTGACATACAATCTTTAATAATGACCCTTTTATTAGAATTATTCAAGCCTCTCACATTTCATGAAATTTATCAACCTAACATAAGGCCAATACTGAAGCTTCCCATTTCTTTCTCTTTGCAGCTAACATGAAATTAATCTTGTGATACTTGCTAGTCAATCTCTATGTAAAGCAAACACAGATAAATGTGTAAAGCATTCATGTTTGGCTGACCAAAAAGAAGCTAAGAAAGACAACTTCTTCCCAAAGAATCATAAATGTTGAAGGGTATACACCAAAAGTTCTTGCATTTCTTTCAAGTCAAATCACCCATAACCCAACAAAGAATGCTCCGCACCATAGAGCTTTAACCTTTTTCTTCAAATATGAGAAAAAAATAATAGATGATTTTGAGTTTGTGCTACTTTAAAACACATCACACAAATCCTTGGGGATACAGCTCAATTTGGTCAATAAACTTGTTGCAAACCACTAGTATTTAGCATGTTTACAAATTTAGTACAAACAAAAACGTTTTTAGAAATGTCATTATGAGAGGTAGGATTTTGAGTTAAAAAAGCATGATTGGATTTGCCTTAGGGTTCTAGATACTAGGTTCTATGGTTTCCTTTATTGCATAAGACAAGAGAATCAAGTAGGTGACATGAAGAGCACATACCATCAGCCTTGCAGTCATTATTTGTAAAGAAAGACATGTCCAAGAAAGGGAATCGTTAAAGTACCCTGAGAAAGAAGAAATGAAGACTGGATGAATTTGGGACAAATACCCAGACGAGAGAAAGTATACCATTATGATCAAAACAATTGGGAGGGTGTTGGTTATTTTTAGAAGTCCCTAACGGATGGCCAATATGTTCTTGTAAAACTTTAGTCCTCTTTGTCGAATGTTGTTATGTGCATTTCCTGCCTCTGTTGTCAACTCGATATCCTTTGGGCATTGCCCGTTCATATTGTTGGTTGGCTCATGATCCTCTGCTTTTGCATTGAGTAAATCTTGTATACATTCAATCATTTCTTCATCTCTCTCATTCACTCTATTTTCCACCAATCTCTCTATTGGATCATCCAATGGGGATTCATTCATAATGTTTTAACTCCATAAAGTCAAAAAGAAAAAAAAGGAAACCGTTTTCAATTGAGTCCACATGCTCATCCTGCTTCCCTTGGTCCTTTTCACCACTGTGCTCTTCCAAAATAGTACATATTTTCCCCTTACCTTTACAATTATGTGCACGCATCTCTTTTAGCTCTCTTGCCACTATCCATCCGGAACCTTTCCTTTGCATTGTTTTATGCAGATCTGACACCCTTTGCTTGCATGATAGTAAACTTTGCAAGGTATTATAACTCTCAACTTCTGCCTTTGATGATGCTGGGAAGGGCGTTGGTTTCACAATTATTGATTTTACGCGAGTTTGGGTTTCTATTAATGGTAGCATGTCTAACACAGTGCATCTTTTGTCAGCCACTTTTTGCCTCCGTCACATGCAACTCTTCTTGTTTCCTCCCTTTGATAATTTCTCCAGTCCTTCCAATTTG